CGTTCCCAAAAGAGTAACAAAAGAAGTCTTTTCATACATTGATTCCTAGGGGGAAAGCAGAGTATGGAGACACACCAAACCAGATATACAAGCAGAACTAGTAAACCCATTGGTGTCCCTGCCCAAGGCAAGGTGATTGGAACTAGATGATCTTTAAGGTCCCTTCCAACCCAAACAATTCTGACTTTATGATTCTATGAATTTGGTGCTGCTGCTTCCTAGAATATGTGGCTGAGTCACAGGACAACCCAAAAGAGATCTTAAGAACTGAAAGGGTTCATATTTGCTTTTTTCCTACCATTATATATTTTTTTACCATTAGTAAACTCCAAACTTCAATGTGATGCAATGAACAATAGAATAAGGTAATATCAAGCAAATGCAGTATCAATGTCAGTTACATACATATTAGAAAACATATTCATGTGCTTAGAAACTTAGGTTTCTATGCTGACTGCCCCATCTTGCTTCACAATGTCACTTCACAGCAGAAAGAGGCAAACTTTCAATTTCTTTTTCTAAAACCTTAATTTGAAACACCTGAAGAAAATTTTCAATTGTTAATTTCTACACTGGTATTCGTTTATTGACAAAAAATGTAAGATAAATCTCTTTCATAGAGTAAGCAACCAGACTGACAGCCTATCAATACACTTTAGCTGTTGGTATCTATATCAAAAATAAATTGTATACAATTATAGTTCTAATGGGGTTAGAATAAGTTAAAGACAAAACAGGATTAAAATTATATCAGAGAATAATGTTCAAGTGATTAAATCTTTAAAGAAAATGTAAATGTAAGCTGATTACCTACGCAGTGGACTGGACAAGTAAATGACGAGAAGAATGCATGCACAGTAAAAACATTTTTTCACTGATTTCCTTTGAAACTCATATATATTACATAAGTGAAATAACCAGGATGTTTTAAATACAAAACATATCCATAACCAACTTGTGGTTATGTCACCAATTTACTACTTGAGTGTCCCATCCTTGAAACACCTAATATACTAATTTAGACACAAAAAAAGCAGCTAACAGCTTTGACCTTCATAAGCCACATATAACCTAGACTAAGTGAGAGGCAATTACATCCTGAGGGAAATTGAAAGACAGACGTCTCCGTGGAGGAGCCTGTGCACCATGACAAACTTAGTAGAAGGAAAGGAAATTATAAATGTTCCATAAAACTCAAGTCTTCCAAGTCTGTTTCTTTTAACATTGACAAAATATACAGATTTTAGTTTCTGGCTTGATTTTTAACTAGGTGTTCTACATGTCTCAAAGATCAGGCTTAAGAAATAAGGAAAGTTGAGTTCATTCTTGAATACAGCAGTTGTTTACTTTTCAGGAAAGCATTTAGTACAGTAGATGAAGTCTGAAGTTCAAAGCATGTGATTCAGAGATTTTGATGGTTCCATTAGGGGACAACATGTTATAGAGGCTGTCAAATTATTTTATCCTTACCACTCAGGACAGAGTGGATTCATTCAATCCACATAAAAAAGAACAGAAAATTTTATTTCAATGAGAGGTTTAGTGCAGGGATTATTTCAGAGCTGTTACTGACAAAACATTTTGTTCAAGGTCAGATCTCCCTCTAATATAGCCTGCTCACGAATCATTACTTTCCATGTAAACCCAGAATAGTACGGTATGCTACACGTGTCTGTCCACATTAATGTTTAAGGACTTCTTTGTCCTGAGATTCTTACATGCTTTCACATGTAACTTTAAAGAGATGATCAAACAGTGAGGTAACAGATCTTAAATAGATGTTAAAGAACAGAAGCACTAATCTACCAGTGGAGGAACATCTTTTTAAAAATTGTTATTACATCTCTGATTTCTCCACCTAATATTCCTTCTGCTACACAGATACTAATTACCTTTGGTCTTGCTCATTTGATACATATAATATCAGGACAATTATTTGTAACTTGTATTTACCTTTCAGGTTTTTTTCTTACATTGTACACTGGAGAAGAGACTGTACATAAAGTTTCTCTACCTTTACCATCTATACTACTTAATCTGTTAAAAGGAGATTTGCACAACTTAACTGTACTGGTTTTATACAACATCAAATAAACCTTATTTCCTTTTCAATTACTTCTTTGATATTCCACATCAATCCTTAAGGACAATTCACTTCAGTTGCCTGATGAATGGTCTTACAGAAGACCCTATTTCTCCTCTCTATGCATAAAAAAAACCCAGTATAATTGCTTAAATTCAGAACAGGACTTTTACATGCAAGGTCAGTATATTCAGAAAACCTTTCCAACTAGAGAATCTATAAATTTAATTCAAAAAGGTTTTTATTGTGGCAAATGGCCAGTGGCTGCAGCTGTACAGTTAAAAATAGAACGGCAACAGCTAATATAAATTAACACTGTTACAGCTGTCAGCCAGCAATGACAAACCCACGGCCTGGTGCTTCGCAACCCCTTGAAGTGGTGCAATTACTATCCTATTTATGAAAGTCAACACTGGTTTATGCTAAAACAGCAAATAATTTAAAATCATGTCGAAATGTCAAAGCAGTTGCATTTCAACAATTATTTTATCATAGATGCATTTTCCTTTTGAGCAAATATTATTTAAACCTGATTGACAAAAGTCTTTTCCTTTCCAAAAGCTTTCTAGCTCCACTTCTGAGTTCCTATCACTGCCCAGATATACAAACACTCTTTCTTAGTTTTTATCTATCTATACATATTTACACGCATGGAAGAAATCTACGTATATTTCAAAGCTATTACATTCTTTAAACATATGAAGCTTAGGTTCTTAAACTAAATTATTTTACTCTCAGATGTCTGTTGCTAAGAACGTTACTCCTTCAGGCCTGATGCAAATTTCCCACTGGTGCTCAAATGGGCATGTGTGGACATAAGCATGAAAATTACTGAACTTTTTATACGACAATCTTCAAGCAATCAATTTTTGAATCCATACAGAGACTCTAATGTGAATATTAACTAGTCCAGGTAGAAGACTACCATTCCATCAATTTACAGAAGAAAACTGGTGCTCTCCAGTGTATGACTAACAAATTGGATTTGAACAGGATCCAAAATTCCCTAGCATGTGCAGCATCGAGTGGGTGGGGGTGGGGATATTCATATGAAAGAGGAGTGATATGTTTCATTTTTATGGCCATGGCAAAAGTGAAAATACAAAATTAAAATTAATGCTGCCACAGGAGCGTTAACGATTAACTTACACTAACAAGTGGCATTCCATTTTTTTTGTATTTATAACAAATTCAGGTTTATAAAAGGTGTACATAAGGTTTGAGATTTCTGAATTGTGAAAATTAAATAATGAGTTCATAAATCAAGTGTATAACATTTCAAACACTATTTTTGTGAAATTATTAAGCCACTATTCATATAATTATTTCAGATATGCACCTCTAACTGCTGAAGCACGGTTTTCAATCTAAGTATTACACAGACCTGCTGAAACAATCTGGCTGTTTCCTGAGCTAGAGAACTGCACTGACTTAGTGATTTACCGTAACAATTTCTAACAAAGCTTTGACACGCAGGAAAGAAAAACGTTTAAAATATCTTTTTTGGTTTTGTATGTTGAAACTGTAAGAGTTTTAAACTGGACAGTGCTATAGTAAGTTTCAGTGTGGAAGGTCAAACATTGCCTAGATACAGAAGCAGTATTTTCAGTATTTTACTGGAATGTAATCTTCTGCTCAGAGAAAATTCCCGTGATTTTTAAAACATTTTCTTAACCTATTTAAATTTCCATGCTTAATTCTCCTCTGGAAAAATAGTAGACCATTTTACTGATGTAAACAAGTTGCCTAAATATACTTTAATGCAAACAGCAAAAGCACATGTGCATGTCCTGTTTTGCAAACAACAAGCAGCCTCCCTGCAACTTCTAACAAACTTAAGTACAGTAATATTAATGTCATACAGTTGTCAAAATATGAATCCAAAATATTTAACCACTACTGGCAAATCAGAAATAGCAATGTATTTGCACAATACATCTCATCAGCCAATGATCTCAGATAAATTTATGCATTACAGAGCATTAGCAAATATAGAACAATTTTAGACATATGTTTAATGCTGGTCTTGTTTGGTATTTTTTATTTCCAGTAAAATAATGGAGAATAGAAATGCGCTATGACCCTTGAAATTCAAAATGTATTACCAGCTACATCAAAATGTGGCTTATGAACGTAAAAGCTATACACAGACTAAGATCCTAGCAGAAGGACTGATATTTCAAACTGTGGACTGTTCTAGCATTTATTTTCGTATACAGAAAGATGCTACTCCACTGCCAACTAGTGAGCACTTCCATCACCCTTATCCAAACAAAGCTTTGGGAACAAAGCTGATGAGATAACACAGATCCCACTGAACACAGATGTTCAGGTGTACATCTGAAATCCAGTCTTGGTAACCACTGCTATTAAACATTCCAGATGGAGGCTGTCTTATAAAACCCCGTGACTCTCATTCCTACCTCCTACCAACATCAAAACAGCCACTTTAATTTCTAGGTGAAACACAGTATAAATGTAAACTCTAAAAAAAATACTAAGAACAACATAAACTGAAAAAAATCACTGTAAGTTGACCTAAATAACCAAGTTTCCTCCTAAGAGAGATACCATCCATGCAGAACGCACACAGTAAACTTCTACTGACTTCTGTCAGTGGTGACAAGCAACCAAGAGGTGCTTGGGGCAGTCACCACAATGCTTCTGGTTGAGCAAACTAAAAAAATTAAAGAGCCAGATGTAAGAGCCGTAAGCACATATGATTAAGCAAAACTATCTGAATAGAGCACAGGTCTACCCACTGCAGCATATACAGAAAACCTACAAATGACTGAAGTAACCCTCAAAGCAGCATATATGATTTTTAATCCAAAATTACAAGATTTGCATATAAAATGGTAAAGAGAACTAAACTACAATTTATTACTTCAAGAAACATAGTTACTATGATACTTACCACTGTGAAATTCATAACCTTCAAAATCCATATTGTCATTGCTAAGTTAACAATCATGGTAACCAACAGCAGAAGGACAAAGAAGTATAAGCACCTCTTTCGCCATCCATAAATCCCAACTGGGTAAAACTGAGGATGTTCAGTCCTTGGAAGGGTGTTCTGTTGTGTTGCTAATATATACTGCTCTCGTGTCATCTGGAAAAGAAAGATGGATGTATAAGTAAGCAAATGAGAGGTTTGTTTTTCATGAATTTTATTACATGGCGATTATCTGACAAATCTGAAAATCAGTTTCTATGAGCACAGGACAGATATATTCATTCAGCATAAAGCCTATCAATGTTATTTTTCCTACATACTTAGTAAGAATTTGGTGGGTTTTATTAATTTAAACTTTTGGTTTGATATTTCAAATTGAATTTGCATTTTAAACTTATCAGAAATAAACTATAAAAAATATTAAAAGTCTATACCTCATTTTATTCTGAAGGCTGCTTTATTGTCATTTACAAGGTCATGTAGGGCAATTCAGTTTTGAAAAAAAAAAAAGTCATGTAACTTTCTTTTGCTGGTTTTGGCTGAGATAAAAGTAATTTTCTTTCATAGTAGCTTATAGCTAAAACCAGTACACTCTTGTTTAAAAATAAAACTCTATTCTTTCTAAAATAGTAACAGATTAAATTACCACTCCTTCGTTATACTTAGTAAATTAATAATTTATGCCATTATACATACAGCCATGCTTTACACAGAAGTATGCCACTGTATATACTATATTTGACACAATAATAAACATAAAAAACCCTTCAAAGCTTTAATTTTGGCCTTTATGAGATATGCATACTACCAACATACGTTGTTTTCCTGAACCAGTTTAAGTTCTAGCAAACAAGCAACATGTAGCTGCAAACTGCTTAAAGAAGTTACCATTAATTCTTAATTCTTCTATAGAACAAAAACTGTCTATTGTGTTTAATAAGAAACCATTTCAAATTTTTTACATACTTAGCTTTCTTTAGAGCTCTTTATATTCATATTTGTCTGTGACATTGCCTTTAGAATGGAAAGCATTAAGTTTTATCCATGACATAAAAAGAAATTAAAGAAACCTCTTTCTTTTTATGTAAAAGTTCTTCCTGAAACATGCCCATCAAAAAGACTGGCCTTGTGTTCAAGAGAAGGAAAAAAAAAAAAAAACACAGAAATAACCAAAAAAACAAACCCAACCAAACAATAAACTCATAAAACCAGAGTGATCAGGTTTATGCTTAAAACCTTGCTTTTGTTTTCACAAAAAGAAAGTTAAAAATGCATAATAGATCAGTTGGTTCAATTAGAAATGAAAATCTTATTAAATCCATTTGAAAGATCAAAGAAATGGTGATTTTATGAGATTTTTTAAATTTAAAGCTCAAAGATGCTTATGCAAATCATCCATACTGTTAGATATTTATCCAAACCAAAACTATTGAGATTTCTTTACCACGCAATTGTTAATGAATGAGATAGTAACAGCACAAATGAACCCAGTATAATGATAGCCGCAAGTCATAGAATATACATTCATATTACAACAATACATATATTACTGAAATAAGTCAAACAGAAATAATTATTTTATAAAGCAGGTTTTAAATAAGGTAGTGAACAGGCATTTTGTCATTTTTATTCTTTTCAAGCAGAACTGCTTCTCTTTTTCCTGTAATTTCAATTAACTGTAATGTTTAGCAATTTATTTACAGAGTGAACCTTTACAAACTTCCCTCCATGACTTTTCTCAGTCCTCCCAGAGCAAAGCACCAGCAGGCTTTAATCAAACCCTCATCACATCATGGCAGAATTCATCCTAGCTGTGTCTGAATGTCTTAAGAAACTGAATGCATGAAAGGGTTAATCATCTTCCTCCTTATAATGAGTTTCTACACATTTATTTAACCAGTCATTATAATAAAAATGCAATCCATGATTACATTTTGAGATTTAAAGTAATTACTATTTTTTACACCACTTCCATTAACTTGTGACCTTAGTTTATTTACTACTTTTGAAAGAATTATCACTATTAGAAATAGTTTAAAAGTCAACTTCCAGATAGTGAGAATGCTAAAAGTAGCACTGTCCCTGAAATAATGAATGTGGACCCATGAAACATATCCTTTGCAACACAGCCATTAAATGAAATGAAATTTTATTCCACCACCACAGTCAGGCATCACTCAGTTCCCTCAGTGTACACTGTTCAATTGACTGAGGCTCTGTGATATTCCTCTACAGCCCATGGAGGTCTACAGGAGCAGATCACTACCCTGCATTCTGTGGAGGAGCAAACTAGAGAAAAACTGAAGAACTGAACCACTTCAGTCTCATTCCACTGCCTTCCATTTGACATTACTTTCAGGTTTCTTTTTTTTTCCCTGTTTGAGAGGCAATACAAGTTTGGAGGCATTACAATGAGAGCTGGTCAAAAGTTACTTTTTCTAGTTCATGTTCTCTCCCAATTTCTTCTTAGCTTTCTGAGAAGCTCGAGTTGAAGGTCTCAAGAGTTCCACAATCCCTGCAGCAAATCCTGTGACTCAGATTGCTTAGAGACCCTCAGTGCTCCCTAATCTTGCCCAGATTTTCTGCTATCTTCAGCTAATACACTTCACTCCACAGTCCTTGCTATTAACCAAGCTTTCATACTCCCACCTTTTAAAAAAATATTACTCAGTTACAGATTTTCAAGTGTTTAATACAGCTTGCATTCCCAAGAGTGCAGAACAAAAAAACCAAACTGAGTATGTTTAAAATGTCAATAAAATGATTAAAATTTGTTTGAAATGTTCAATAAAGAGTGCTTTTATTACAAGCATGTTGATTCACTGGAATCCTATCCGTTTGAATAAACTCCCAATAAAATGGAGGCGGATGTCATGAGACATTCACTCATACTTTGGGGTGACAGAACAATTTTTTATTTTTATTTTTTTTTTAAGAACATGCAACATTTCATATAACATTTGATACTTTCATGGATGAAATAAAAAAACCCAACATTCTTTCTATGACAATTATTTTAAGACTTCAATCTTTTTGTGATATTTCGTATTAAAAATTACTGGCATAGGCATAGCAAGACTTAAGTAAGAAAATAACCTTAATGGTGGTAGAAATATACCTCTGGGAATGATTTCTGAATTAATTACAAATGGAAGGTGTTTATTTAAAGCTCAAAGTAATTTTCAAGTCTGACAGGATATTATCACAAGAAATATTTAGCTTTACTTAAAAATACTATGACGTCAACATCTAATTCAACAAATACAATTCTGAAACTGGTTATTACTCACATCATTAAACAGACAAGCAAAAAACAACAATTTTTTTTCCTTGGGTATTATGCTTGTAGCCCAGCACATGACACCACTTCTATACATTTTCATTACTGACCGATTCTCCATGCATTATTTTCTTAATCCATAAGCAGAATTTAAAACATAAGGGAACTTTAAAACACAAAACTATAGTATGACAGCATGTAGACCCAACAATGATTTGGCTTTGTAAGGAACATAGCAATCAGATGAGCTGTAGAGGTGAGGAGATAGAAGAAAAAAAAAACACAACTAGCAGGGAAAAATCTTCACATTAGCATTTAAAGAAAAAAAAATCAAAAAGCAATCAGCTTATAACTGGCTATAGCTCCAGACATCATATAGATGATTTACCAGAACCAGCTGGCGATCTCCACTCATGCTGACAGCAACACAGCCTCTGGCCAGCAGCTCATGCTGTCAACAGTTCTTTTTTTGTATGACACTACAGCGGGTCATACATTTTGCTTTACTCTACACAGTGTGTGGCATTAATTAAACTCAGAGTTGAAATACTACTTTATTGTTTTCTTTGTAGACTTTAGCTGAAAGTTTAACATATGTAGTGAAAAATATATCACACAGAGCAGGAAGCAGTATAAGAACCATAACATTTCTTAGGCAGCAGATACACAAATAGTACTTCACACCCCAACATTTACTCTAAAATCCAGAGCTGGGATGAAATCAACACAAAGCTCATACTCATATTACAAAAGTAAATATGAAGATGGCAGGAAGGGAGACCCATTTCTGCCAGGAAGAAGTGCCAAATCCAAGTGACACCAAGATTCTAAACTGAGAGTTTGATTCTTTTTTGGTTCAGCCATGGATTTTCGCCCTGACCACTTCCAGAAATGGAGGTGCAACTGTACTCCAAACCCCAAGATAATGTTTCTTAACCCCTTTGCACTCCTGAAAATCTGAAGTAAAGAACATGCAAATAACTTCACTGTCAAGCTGTGTATAAAGTCAGTTGATTACATAATTTGTGCAGTTTGAATAATTTGGAAGAACCTGGGTTTTTTCCTCGGCCAAAAAGAACAGTTTTGACACCAACAAGCCTTTGCCAACAAGGCTTAAGTCAGTATGTCTTTACTGACAATTTGCTTCGCTCTGTTGTCAATTAGAATTCCATTTTTTTGCTTAGTCATTACAATCAGATTACTACAGAGACTTCATTACAACCACAGGCAGGACAGCATCTGAGGTACATAATTTTCTCCCTATGATGCCAGTATTCACTAAATAGTTATTGGAACAATTGTCTATAAAAGGACAATAAATGTTTGCATCTCAATATTGTTCTCCAATAAAATTATCACTTGACAAAAATGGATACCAGTAAGCTGATAGTATTACCATTATTACTTAGTGAGAACATTTACGGCTGTTCTGTGTTTAATATACTTAATTGTAATGTTCACTGCACAATGAAGTTCACAGCATGTTATCAAGAATAAATAATCATGTAATGAATAGAATCATATTTTTTTCACTATTCTGTGACTTTGAATGTTTCTAAATAAAATGTGCTATACTGAATTCTTTGGGAAGCTGTGTTCAAATATATTTTCAATAATCAGATAATTTCAGTATACTTTCAGTGTATTTTTTAAAGAAGCTTTGGTTTCAAAAGCTTACTCATTACTTCACTTTACTTAGCTTTATAATAATCTAAATTGCATGTGGTATTTTAGAATAACTTCTGAAGTGTTCTATCTAGCTACACTGCCAACATATCATATTATTAGCAAAATTGCAAATTAAACTAGGTGAGATTGCAGAAGGAGTCTAGTAGCAGCAACACAAGATTTAGTATGGCTGAGCTGCCTTACAGAA